CGATATCTGAAATACAGAAGGCGGGGCTTTTATTATACTGCGTTTTAAGGTCCGCCCTGCCCCTTTCTCTATTTTTCATGCTACAGAAAAAAAACTCTGTCTATAATTTTCTCTTTGTAATAGATAGATCAAAACGGGGGATTAAGGTTTTACATAGGAATATCCAGGAAAAAGTCTTCAAAAATCTTCTTAAGAACGACAATGTCATGATTAGTCATATTAATATGGAAGCATCATCAGTTAGTGTAGATGTACGTTTGTTCAAATCATGACCCCCGGGGTAGGGTGGGGTCACAATGGGGGATCAAAGTTTTACATAGGATATATATATATATATCGAAAAATCTTCTCCACAAGAACAGCAAAGCCATCTTTAGTCAGATTGATATGGAAACATCCTCAGGTATTGTAGATTCAAATTTGTTTAAACCATGATAACAGGTCATATAAAATTAATTTTCCGCCGGAATATGGCTGAAATATAGCCGACTCGGCGTTAAACCCTAATAAATCAATCAATCAAACCATGACCCCCTAGGGGTAGGATGGGCCACAATGCACTATAAGGGTTTAGCATGTGAATGTATAGGAAAAAAATTCTAAAACCTTTTTTTTCAGGAACAACAAAGCCATGTTTAGTCACATTGATATAGAAGTATCTTGAGGTAGTGTAAATTCAAGTTTGTTTAAATCATGACCCGTCACCCCGTGGGGTAGGGTGGGGCTAGCGCTATATCTATAAAAATCATGACACCTGGGGTAGGGTGGGGTCACAATAGTGATTAATATTTTACATTGGAAGATATGTTAGAATAAATTTGCTGATGAAAAACAGCAGGGCCTTATTGACTCAGGTGAGCGTTGTGGCCCATGGGCCTCTTATTTTATGTCAAGGTCTTGGAAAATCGTAGGACGATTCTTTTATAAAAGGCAGTGACGAATCTGAATGTATAATGGTAGTACAATGTATATTTATCTAGAATATATTCACCACATACAATCAAAAGATATGTTCAGATTTATTATCCATGTATATCACAAAAATGTTTTGTTAGAATGATCATATTAGTTGTACTGTATCCGTATCTATAGACTTTGATTCATATAGCATGAAAAAGAGGGAGTATTTGTTTCTGTATTCATGCAATGAATTGGGAAAATAATCACCTTAAAAAAAAGAAAGGGGTTCATCAACGCTACGTACATAATGTATGTGGTAAATGCCTTGTGTGACAAGTAAACAGAAATCTGTAATACACCAGATGGTGTTTATTTTCTACGTACTTGATACGCAAGGAGCAGATGGAAATTTAAAGAAGGTGTTATTGCCACCCCTCCCCCTCTTCCTCACCTGAGATGCAATGTATTACCGGAAATTTCTCCAGCCACTACCGAAATTATTCATATAACATGCGCAAATCTAGGGGGGGGGGCAGTCGGGGGGACCCCCCCCCCATCTGGAATTTGCAGAGTTATTAAAAGTATATACTGAAGTAAATAAATGACTTTGGGCCCCTTAGAAAACGTGGACCCTACCATCACCACCACGAAATAGGTGTTTTTCACGTTTTGGAAATGGAATTGGATTTTACGTTTTTTTTCTTCCTTGTCAAGAAATTTTTGGGTTAGAAATTTTTTTGACTGGGATGCCCCCCCCCCGGAAAAATTCTTGATCCGCGCCTGTATAATCATTATTCAAAATTGTTAGGTAATATCCGAAACAACATATGTGCAATGTATAGCATTTATGAAAATCGAACTTCAAAAATTCTGTCATGACTACATGAGACCGATTGTATTATTTCCTCCATAGTTACCACGGAGAATGACTGAGGACTTCGAAAAGGATAATTTAAGGAGATTGGCAATGTTCCTAGCTTTCGTAAAGAATTTTTCAAAAACTCTTGAGCAGGTGTAGTGGTACTAAACAATACACTTTATTGGTTTTGTATTTTATATTTTATTGTAGAAAATTCTACACGGGAGATCACTCTCAATCAAGCTCCGGACAGCTCAGTATTACTCCGTATATTTCTGGGTGCATTTGTGGGGAGGGGGGGTTATAGCACAAATTAATGTAGAAAATAGAAATTCCTTCATACGCAAAAAAAAAGGAAGAGGATCAACTGATGTTTCCTCCCCCTTCCCCCGTTCATACAGACGTGAGATACATAAATGACTTGTATATAGAACTGGACATTCAACTTTGCCCAAAATGCTTCATGTCGGTAATAAAAGAAAATATTTTACAATAATGATTTCAAATTTTAATCTGTCAAGCAATACAGCCTGCTAGATTATCCCACAGTCTGTCTATTATAGTCACAGTAAAATGTGTAATTTCTTTTTCTTTCTTTTTCTTTTGGCAAAAAAAAAAAAAAAAAAAATACAAAAATGAAATATTATTTCATATGTAGTTCATTATGACGAGGAAGAGTGATATTTTTATAAGAAAGAATTAAATCCAAACCATGATTATACTTTAAATCTGATGTATATGTTTTCAATATTGAATTACCTGTTTTAAGCTTTAACATTACATGTATTTTGTTTCTGCAGTAAATACAGATCGAATACAACATTAGGCTATATATTACCCTATGCACAAATAAAGGGCAAAATATGATTATAAACTGAAAACAAGTTAATTGTTAAAACTAAAGGGAAGCATATATATGTTTTATTTTTTTATCGGTCTTAGTATTAAACTCTACATGCACTTGGAATAAGAAATTTCTTTAAATATTGTAATAAAAATAGACTATATATAATTATATCACAATTTTGATGTGTACGCATGAATATCATAATAGTATTATAATTTGTTCTTCAGCATAATTTATTAAAATAGAGAATTCATATCTATTGATTTAAAGCAAACACGTGACCATTACATTGTCATTGCTATCTGCCGCGGGCTCTACCTGCGGGTACCTGTCAGGTATACGAATACTTCACACACCCATTGTTTTATTGCCTATACACACCGGCAGATTTCACACAATTTACACAAAGCAAATGCTGTGGAAAAACAAACACAAGCCCAATAAATGCGACATTTTTTTTAAAAAATCATTGCCCTAAACGGTATTGCTAAAAGCACACGAAACATGGAGTAGCAATTCCTGCCCTAAGAGATATATTGTACAAAAAAATAAACACAACAGCTAGGGTAAATCCTTAATCTTTCTTCATATCATGTAAACAAACTCTCTTTAATTTTATGTGTTTAAGTCAAGATTAAAACATTTTGCACCACCCGGACCTTTAAACTTCGGCGGACCTTTTCTTATACGGACCGGACCTTTTCTTATAAAAGGCGGACCTTATATGATATCGTATTAGGTCCCCACGGACCTTTAAACGAGGCGGACCAAATATTATGCGACACCGGTCACGTCAGCCATAAGTCTTCAGTTTAATTCAAGTAAACAGGGTAGTCAAAATTACATGTATTATACATACAATAGCTCAGTGATTGGTATGAAACCACGGCCCAACGATAGGTTGTATTTGGAAACAAGGTCATTATGCACCAAAGAATTTATAAAATGTTGAAAGCTGTGTAACATCATTTATTCGTCATTATCTTGATTCGACTTGAATATTGATCTTACTAATATGAATTGTTCGTTTATATCGAATCAGCTGGGAGCTATTTGAGAAATGGTGATTTTTTCTTCAAATTTCTAAACCTCTATGAAAGGATAAAATAAAATGGTCGATGGTCTTGAAATGATTATAAAATGTTGATGGCTCAGATAAATTATTTCAAACCTATACCCCAACATTCGCACGTTAAGGACACGGTTTCTCTAATCTAAATGCAGCTGCAAAGATTACATTCATATCCATCATGTCAATAGACACTCTGTAGAGTTCTTAAAGTCATATTTCCCAAATTTCAGTTTGAAAGTTAAATACAGTAAGTAGTGATTTTGCAATCCAAAAAAAAAAAAAACTTTCGTCATGCATAAAGTCTTAAGGACATTGGCAAGGTTCCTGGTTATTGTATAGAATTTTTCAAGAACTTTTGAGTAGGTTTAAATGTACTAAATAGGCTATATTCTGGATCGTTTTACCTACCAATCCAGCATTCTTTTTTAGATTTTGTCAAATTAGTGTTTTTACAATTCTTAATGCATTTCCTATGTAAAATGTTGATAAAAGGGACCTACATAATTTTTTACCATAATATTTCTTCAAAACCCATTTATTTCATACAGTTTTTGTATTATATACATTATTGTAACTTCATTTCCTATGACTTCTAGATATTTTGGTTGAAAATGTATATATAGAAGAAAGACATGGATACACCGGCACCGATCATCATTTTTGAGTTGCGTCCCTTGACAGCTAAAATTGGTCAAGTGACTGGTTGGTTGTTTTTATCATGGTTATGTCGGGGTCCACGTTTTCTAGAGGGGGCCCAAGTCATTTTTTATTTGCTTCAGTATACTTTTTAAAATAATTCTGCAAATTCCAGGGGGGTCCGGACCCCCAACCCCCCTCTAGATCCGCGCATTTATTATCTAAGTAATCTTGCAAATTGATGAATTTATCGAATTGTTATATGGTGATATTATAAACTGAGAACATCTGGTGGGCAAACACATGGAAATTGACAAACGACCCTTATCGGGAGAAAAAAAAATAATTCATTTTCATACCCATGAATAAACAATATGTATATGTATACAGGAATTTTCATTACTATAGCCAAAACAATGTATATAAATGTAATATACTTGTGTATGTTAGTTGTGTCTCGAGTAAAAGATACAACACTGAGACATAAAAATATGTCAACGGTGGGTTACAAATTAGCAATATACACTGACATCAAACACTGTCACATTCATTTTCAAATCACGTTGAAATCTCGCAAGATTTGTGAAAAACAATTTGAAAAGTGTTCTTCTGTCCTGGTAGGGATAACCTCTGCTGAAACAATGAATGTCAATGATAGACATATATATGGGAAGAGAATGGACAATTCATTTCTTAATGAGTTTTATTGCACATGCACCAAATTTCTTCAGACCAACTATAAGCATGGGAAAATCCAAAGCAACAATCCCTCCAAGAACGAAGGTGATGATGATAATTCCCACAAAACCGAAAGTTTTCGCGGAGGGCCTGGAATCGGTTGCTGATGTTTTTTTGCGGACAGAGGAAGATAAGGTGGATTTCTCAACCTGGATTTCTTTCTTGATTTCTGCAATTTTGGCATTCAGTTCCTCCGTGGAATTGATGGTTGCAGTGTATCTCACCACACATCCTTCAGGACAGGTGCAGTTCTGAGATGTGGATGAAGTAGCGGTTAACATTGTACTGGGGGAAGTGGGTTCGGTGATTGAGGAGGTGGATTCGGTGGTTGTCAGAGATTTGGTGGTGGTTGCTGGAGACTCAGTGGTGGTTGCAGATTCCGTTGTGATGATGTTGGATGGAACTTTTCAAAAAAATAAATAATAACTATATATTTTTAACACATTCTTTTTTTAGCATAAATATGAAATCACTTTAGTATTGCAAAACGAACAAAAAGATGGAAAAATCCGATACGATTTTCTGTTGGTTGAGGACTCAACCAAATCAAAAATCCATGACGACAAGCTGACAAGAAACGCTATATGAGATAGATTTTACTGTTACACCTCCTTTTTAAGAGAATGTTTAATATTGAATTTAGATAAAACAAATGTCAGAACATTTTCAAAAATCAAATCTTTAAAGCAGAGATTTAAATGATTTTTTTTAATTTAATAAGATTATATTAATGAAAAACTATAATTTTGAAAACCTAATCATCTTTGAATTTTGAAAATATTTCATTGACAAATTGTGTGACAGATATTGACTATTGTAAGCTATTGTAAACGCGTGCATAGAGTATTATGTTTTTTGGTTTTTTTTTTGTTTTGTTTTTGTTTTTTTTTTTTTTATTTGTTTTGTTTTTTTTGATGACGTACAAATTTGTACATCCATTACTAAATAATATTTTAAAAGTAGCGATGCAATTAGTTTCTTACAAAAAGTCCCATTAAGCTTCTCTTTTTCATCGATTACTGATCACATTAAAATCCATTTGAGGCATCCAGAAATATAGCCCATTGACGGACTCCTTTTTTTGCTATAGGTTCGGATTTTTTTTCCATGTTCCTTAACATGTTTAATGTACTAATATGCTTCATTTACTTTGTGATTTATATGTCACATTTTGTTAAAAAAAAATCTTTATATACATAGGATTTTTTAAATTGCTTCTGCTGGCATTCTCGTCTAATAAGGTGTTCAAAATAAATCCACTGCATCTAAAAGTATGGAATTTTTTAACGCTTTTGTTTCTTTTTAATTAGTCGGGACCAAATTAGGACTTTGGAAACAAGTACTTTTTTTCGATAAACACTTGGCAATAGAAAATGTGTGTAACAGGTTTTTAGTTTGAACCTATTTAAAAATCGCTAGCCTGTAGTCGCAGTAAAAGAACCCGACACTCCATTACTCAACAGGACATAGAATATCGATTTGAACGAAACATTTTACGTATGATTGATGTCGAAATGAAAAATGCTCGCATGTAACCGCTATAATTTCAATACAAATGTTGAAATTTCTCGTTATCAAATTAGAATCAATTTTTGATGTAAGATCATTCACAAAAGGTTGTAACAAAATTTTCGGGAAATAATCAATGGTTACATGTAGACCATCAGTAAGAAAACAAAAGCCCATTCAATTTACAATAAGTACACAAAGGTTACTCATGATTCCTCCGTCAGTGATAATGAAGTGATAAAGAAGTCAATCAATATGATTTTAAAACACATTTTAAACACACAATTAATACACTAAAATTTATCATTGCATGAGTTCAACACACCTCTGTTTGGAATAGTACTACAGAGAAAATAGTAGGAATGGTCACATTTCTCTGCGTACCAATATGTCAGATACAGAGACACACAATGCCAGTCTGCGTGGTTGAGATTTTTTGCGTAGAAATTTTCGTATTGTTGAGCCTGTCCTGACAGAGTTGTAAGTTTGTAGTTTGATGTTGTATCCACGTCATACCCAATGTAAACTTCTGAATTTCCTCGACTATGTGCAAATAAGAAAAGTTCATAAATTAGAAAGCAGGTTCTTGTGTTTTGTAATGATTACAGTCCCTATGGTTTATCTGTATTCATGAAAATAAGATATGAAGCTTGGAAGTTTAAAATAAATAATCATAATGATAAAAATAAATTACAAAAAAATGTCAATTATGCAACAGAGTTTATTTTCATTTTCAGTGAATTGTGTCCAAAAAGCCATATTTAAACCAGTATATTTTCCCCTCATACTTACCCTACGGAATCCAGAAAATTGTTTACAGCAGTGTTCGTTGAATCGTCCTTTACGATAGCCAAAGATCCTCCTTCATCAACGCATTTCGTTTGAGCGCTGGTGAGATTTCTCTTGATGGTACTCACCCAAAAACAGACTGGACCGTATGATTCATTATAGAATAAAGTATTTGTTCCCAAGCCATTGCAGTAGTTTGTCAGACCACCTGTAATTTTATCAACGTTGAAATTGAACGAATTACTAATATTACTTGAGAATTTATACTTTCAAATTTAGTCACCATATGCTATTTTTGAATACATAATTTTTTTTCTCGTAAGTCAACATAACTAAGGGGTCACTAACTATCCATTTGGTACAAGGTCCCGCTTTTAGTATATACATGTTATTTTTCAACTAAATTTGCAATTATGGTAACCTTATTATCCGAGTAGCTTAAACATCAGCCCCTACAAAATGGAATCAATTACGACTAAACTATACAAGTTTATGGATATCATCAATTTATCCAAAAAGGAAGTCTTGTCCTTTTTTCAGGAAAAATAACGTAGAAGAGCAAAGGATACAGTTTTTATTTCCACATACAGGTAGACTACTAAACAGTAAGGACAAAAGATGTGTAGGTTGTGGATGTTGTAAATTCATTAAGACTATGGATTTCTTAAGGAAATATAATTGGTCAAATGTTAAAAAAAAACAAACTGTTCAACAAAGTTTAAGAACATTGAGAAGGTTGAAGGTTTTTTTATTTTGTTTGTTTGATTGTTTGTTTGTTTGTTTGTTGTTGTTGTTGTTGTTGTTTTATAACTATCTAGAAAATAATTTGATTTTGCCCCGAAACCAACAAAACAAATGAGAAAACATTGTAAAATATTTGTCTGAAAAACAATATGACAGAAGGCTCAATATATGTACATATACATGTATGTCCGAATCTTGATCCTACGTTGGGTAAGCAGAGAAAGCCAAGGAACAAGTATTTCAATCAAATAAACCTGTGAATTTTTGTTTTAAAACGTTCTCTTACAAACGAAGAGGGAATTATTTAACCACACCGGAAAAAAAAACTCACTTTAATTCTTTTTATTGATCGAGAAAAATGTTGTACTCCATTTTGATCATTCCAAAAAAAAAAAACGATAACGTTAACAGTTGTTTATTTATACGAATCAAGCGTTTAAAATATTTGATAAAATTTATAATTTATACTGATTCTAAAATATTGTTAATTACTGTATATTCGAAAAGTTGTGATTCGTATTCGTGGTCCATAAAAAAATATGAATATTCATATTCGTAAACATGTGATTTTATTTGAATCAAATTTTTACATGCGAATAACAAGTTCTCATAAATGAATGACAACTTTTAATCAAATATCAGTCATAAGGTCATCGTATATTATTCAAAAGATTATCGAACATGAATTAAAAGTTTTGGAAACAAATAACAAGTTTTCGAGTATGAATTACAATTTTTCGATTATGGTTTTCGTCTATAATTTACAAGGATATCGCATACGAATCACAAGTTTATTCATAAAAATTATACGTTTTCCTACATGAAGTTCGATTTTTGTAAATAAAGGTAAAAGATTATTGCTTATAAATTGGAAGGTTATCGAATTTGAATATATTAAAGGTTTTCGACAATGAATATCAATTTTCCAAATATAAACCACAAGATTTGTGTCTTTAAATCAGAAGATGTACTATTGCAACGTTTTACAAGCCATATCAGACAGCAATTGAAATCATTTTTCTTTTAGAAAAAATGATTACGAAAATATACTTGCTAGCTTAAATAACAAAATGAGTGCAAATTTACGGAAGCCCGCTTAGGCCAGTTCAGAGAAAGAAAAATTTTTCATTGCGTTTAATCGCAATAATCATTGCGTTTAAACGCAAAACATTGCGTTTAATCGCAATGTACTTTGCGTTTAAACGCAATAATTTTGCGATTAAACGCAATACTTTTTTGCGATTACACTCAATAGTTTTTTGCGTTTCAACGCAATAATCTTTGCTTTGAACCGCAATAATCTCTGCGTTAAAAGCAATAATACTTCCTTTATAGATTCGTTTTGGATTTAAACACAATGATACAGTAGTTCAAAAGTCATCAATTAGCCAAAGCTTATAATTACTAGGATTCGATACTTTAAAGAAAAACCGTTTGGTTCTCTGCCTTTTTGCAAAATGTTCCATATTTTCAGAATTGTAGTAAAACAGTGGTATCATAACACTCAGAATGTCTTTAACGTATTAGAACGCAACATTCCTAATGAGGGCTTTCGTCAATTGCTTACGTATCACAACTAAATAAGAACGTTTCAGTGGTATTAATAGCACTTGTCATTTTGATAGTACACATCCATCAATCTGTTTTCATTTGATTTTGATTTCATATGATTCCATCACAACGTTCTTGTGTAACCATAGGGAGGGTATAAGTCTAAATACTTCATCATGTTGTACGTAATTCCAAACTTTCATCGGTCGTTTCTTGAACCCCTTTGCACATGTGTTAAAGTGACCGAAACGTCATGATTTTTAAACAATTGGTTTCCAATAAAGCATCGGCAAAGGTTTTTTTTAACCATTTTTTCTTCTTTGGTCTTTTATTTAGAAGATGCAATCTAATTGATTGCAGAAATTGTTTCAATGTAGGAAAAAAAATAACAAAAGAGAAAAAATGTGATTTGTGATTGTAAACAACTGACCAAAACTTCTTTAAGAATATAGAGATCTAATAAGTTTAAGACATGCAGGCATGTTCACGAAGCTATCTTAGGACTATGATGTGTCCTAAGAACGTCATAGGAAATATCTTAGTCTTAAGTCAGTTTCTCGAAGCTTTCCTAAATCTAGGACCTCGCCATAAGTTCGTCGTAACTTTAAGACAACATAAATCATATCCTAAGATCATCCTAAATTTGTGGTGATGCTTATTTTTCTGAGTATCGCAAGTATAAGCGACAATTTTGCGTTCCTCAACAGTCTGCATATTAGCTGACCTGGCAGTAGGATCCGGGGGGCACGGAGGGCAGTGCCCCTCCCCCAATAATTTTGCCGATATACAGAATATAATAGAAAGCACAACTACTATATGCTTGTGCCCCCTCAATAATAACGTCTGATGACCTTTTCATTTTTGCTTGTCAAGGAATTTTTGGAAGATGATAGCGCCCCCCCCCAACTGAAAATGCTTCTTACGGGCCCGGATGAGGAATTACACAAATCTTTTTTTTTCAAAATGTTATCCCAAACCCTCTTCTTTGCAGCATTAGTTACAATGTTCGATAACCTTTTTTTCCACCTCATCAAAAAGCTCTTGAATTCTGCACTTGAAAATTTACACTTCCTCTTCTTATTCATAATGCGGACACGTCAGATACCTTTTCAAATTGGGGAAGGGGGCAGAAAAAATAATTGACTTTTAGCATAAGGGGGCAGAAGAATATAATTGACTAGCCAAAAAATAAAATTCCCTGAAAAACTTTGACATAACAAATAAAAAACTGCCGCACTCAAAAACCTACTTAATGTGTGTGTGTATGTGTGTGGGGGGGGGGGGGGGCTCCGTCCATACTGCAACAGAAAGTGGGGGTGGCAGCCTTTCAAAAAAAATCCATATTAAATTAACAGTAAGAGATTATTTTCGGAAAAATAATGAGGGGTCAGTCCCGTCCCCTCTCCCGATGATAAAAAAACAAAACAAAAACAAGCAAACAAACAAACAAACAAAAAGAAAACAAAACAAACCATTCATACACGTTTTATGTGTAAGGGACCAAAAGTTAAATTTATGCTCTTATTTTTATCTATCGCCTTGGTATAAGTAAATCGGGGTATATTTTGTATTGATTTACATGATCAATTAAAACTATTGAGAGTTCCAAGACTCCGGGATTAAACATTGCCTTTAAAATAGTGAAACATTTCCCTGTTTGAATACCATAGTACATGGTTTCAAGCCCTGCAAAATTCATTTCATTTATCAGTTTATTTTTCAAAAAAGGAATAATAATAATTCAGACTTTTATAATATGTCATTTCATACATGTAATCTTCATTGTGGTAAATTTCTGAATTCAAGATTATTTTTTAACTTTTGAATTATCCATGTAATCTTCATTGTGGTAAATTTCTGAATTCAAGATTATTTTTTAACTTTTGAATTATCCAACATAGTGTAGAAATTATTGCTGAAACACCGTTTTTAAAATAAAAATGAAATTAAATCTTTCACTTTGATAGAAAAAATTCGTTTGTTGCGACTTACATGGGGTATTAAATATTTCTTTTATAATTTTAAAGATGTAAACATTAAATTATACTGAAGTAATCTTGTAAATGGATAATTTGTTATGTAATATAGAAGATTTTTTGGCTGCAATGTCTCCCAAATTTTATATGTATGTTTAAAAAACTAGAGTGTTCATCGTATGTTAGTTGAGTTGATTTCTTGATCATTCTACCGGAATGCAAATTTTGCCAAGCGAAAGGTCAGGAGCTAAGAAGGCCTAATATGCATGTAATTCTCGTGCGGCTGTCTTTGTGTCTGACGCTAAGGAGGCCTAATATGCATGTAATTCTCGTGCAGCTGTCTTTGTGTTTGACGTCAGTGGGCGGGGACTATTGAAATTGACATGTGAGGCCTCGTGTAATTTAAATCTATTAGTCTACATTTTAAAATCTAAATTTACAATTTTATTTCACAATGAAATGGAAATATAAGGAATCACTGTCTAGTTAGTAGAGTATGCCAGGGACATCAACGATAGTTGAAAACGTGGGATAATTTATGCATAACGGGCTTCGCCCTTTATGCAAATTATCCCACGTTTCCAACTATCGTTGATGCCCTTGCATACTCTACTAACTAGACAGTGATTCCTTAATAAGAAATATTTCTTTCATGTACATAAACTAATGTAAAATAAAAGTCAAATGTATGATAATGCATTACTTTAGTGTAATTTAGAAAAAAAAATCTTTCCTTTAAGATAAGATAATATTTACTAGAATTTGTCGGGTAAGACAACAAGAAACATTAGCTCTAAAGAGCTATTTTCCGAATACATATTATTATAACATATAAAATACAACAATCATACAAAATAAACCCAAAAAAAGTGATAATTACGTTCCGTTCGTAATTTGCAAAACTGTTATATATATGAACGAATATATTTTTTTTAATTCAGTTATACTTTAAAGATTTCTTAATATGACTCAATAAAAAGATAGGCAGATTGTTAAAAACGAATTCCATCAATACCTACTTTTAAAAAGACATAAAACAATATATATCCCAAGTTGTAAAGCTACCCACATTCCTCTCCAATGCACTAGTAATTCAGCAAACACCAAGGTTAGAATTATTGGACAATATTAAAACACAATTTATATATATACATTTTTTTGCGGTCGTCACGAGATTCAATGCAGTACGGATATTGACATATTGACTTGTAACCAATCCCTCGAGACCCCGAGGTTGGATAAGATACTGAAAACATGGTTAGTAACACTGAGAAATCTGACCAGCTCTAAGCAAATATTATGAAAATCATCGCTTTAAAATTGATTTAAATAAATTCTAGCACAATTCACTTTTTGAAAACTTATGTAAATACAATATATAGATTGGTGTTTGGAATCGCAATCGCCGAGTATATTAATTACCTGATGTCGGTGATTTTCAATGTGGAGTTTATTAATACTGTCCATATTTAAAGTTACTGATTTTATTTTACGACCTGGAAATTTTTCGGAGTAAGTAATTTATAATTTCCTTTAATAATAAAAATCATAACATTATTTATTTAAAACCTGACTCCACATCTCCGCTACAAACTAAAATCAGAATCAATACCCCTGTCTTGTACATTAGTATCAGAGTCATGATTTTTAAACAATTGGTTTCCAATAAAGCATCGGCAAACTTCTATCCGTTTGTTGGGTAAACCATCTATAAATTAACACAAAAGACCATTTGTTTCTAATGACATCTGCAAATGATATTTTGTTTTTAAAAAAAGTACATTAAAAAAATGTCGGTTCCGATTTCAAAGTACATGCACATGGTTTGGAAAGTAGTAACTCTGTCGGCTTAGGCATGGGTAACGTAAAGAGTTTTAAACTATTGAACAGAAAACATTGATCTATTAGTTGATACTAGTTGTTTAATGTAACCAAATCAATGTAGGTTCATTCTTATTGATAAATCAAATTTCATTGTTTTCCATCTGGCAGAGGATTAAACCAATCAACAAAAACAGGTCAACGTATATTCAGACAACAATCTGGTCAACACGAGACTTTAATTAAAAGGTTAGAGCTTTAAGAAGCAGCAGGTATGCTATCGAAGCCATCTTAGGACTAAGACATATCTTAAGATATATCTTAGTCCTGAGTGAGGCCATCGAATCTGTCCTAACTTAAAACATATCTTAAGATTTCTCCTAAAGTTAAGACATTGCAAGACCCGTCCTAACATGAATTTAAAAGGCTCTAAACTAAGCGCAATCGTTCATTTCTAATCAGACACGTAGGCGGGGGAAAGGTATCATATTTTTTACCGAAAAAAACTTTTTTGTGTATTTTTCGTCTAGCCCCCCCCCCCTCGAAATAAATATACGATGTTTACCCCCTTTGTTCATCTATTTTCTGATTTAATCAGGAACATTTTCTTTAATCTGTCCGACATTTTCTGGCTTGTCCCCCCTCCAACTTCGAGAAACACTGAGTGCTTCGTACCTATGCATAAATAATTGCCCAGTTGTAATATGTCGTACTATAAGGATATTTATTCTAAGTAATTGTGAATATACAAATTAAATTACATGATTGAATGTTTGATGTATTGGTCACTATGTCCAGAAAAATTTAAAGTTATATTTATGGAGAAGTTGGGATTTCTTTGATGGTTCATTACATAAACGTTGAAACCTAAACCTCAAACTGGTTTATTATTCAGTCGAAAATTACGAGTGAGTGAGGATAATAGCACTATACAGTATCGTGAAGCGGTTCCCCATCCAAGGGCTATGCATGCTCGCTGTAGCTAATATGTAAAAAAAAAAAAGGGGGGTGTATACCGCGTCAATAAATAAGTTAACTTACTAGCAAGGCTGTATTTCCCTGTTTAGATACTGTCCGCTACATTACTATCGAAAACTACGTAAAGATGAAATACCTGTTGGTTTTTGAGCTTGTTAATTATATAAAATTTATTTATCTAAACTGCTGTGCAACCATACTGAAATGTAAATTTTGTCAAACATAACTTTAAACTTTTTTCAATATGTATGTTTTTATATTTTCTTCATATATATATATATATAGAGAGAGAGAGAGAGAGAGAGTCCCAATAAATAATTTATGAAATAAAAATCTATTAGAATTAGACAATTGTTTTGTAAATATCTATCTCTAATTTAATTTTTCACAATTCATTAAAAGAATTGAAAGTCCCACTTATTACTTTTTCTCTATCATATAAACATAGTATGTAATGTTACAATATTTAAAAATTATATTATAAGTCTATCCTAGTTAGGACATTCCTAAGAGAGCTTCTATGTCTTTCTTAAGAACTCTCTTAGGATCGTCCTAAGTTTTGTCCTAAGACATCTCTTAAGTCATATCTTAGGACTATTCATACGACACTTTCGATAGCATGCCTGCAGTATTTCATTTACAGGGAGACAAAAATTTAAGGTACAAAATTTTATAAAGCTTCATTCTATTTTAATATATGAAGACTTAAAAGTAAACAGAAATCAAATTGATTTATGCATGAAGGCATTTTTTTTTTTTTGCTTGTCAGATAATTTTGGGAAGATGCCCACCCCCTCCCCACTTTTGGTGAGTTCAGGGGTTTTTTTTTCCCTTGTCAAATTATATTTGGAACCCCCCCCCCTTTCTGAAACCGTTGCTACGGACCTCCATATCTATATTCTAAACATGTATTTCTATTCAAGTTAGATCAATGCACCTCTCCAAAGAAAATTCATTAGGAGCGTGCCCATAAAAACTTTTTTACATCGATTCATGTACCAAAAAGCATGATCATTTACAATTACTTAAAATTTTAGGCTATAGAAAGATGGAACACTATTGTTTCACATATTTTAAAATAGATGGAGAATATGGGGAAGCCCTTATATACTGGGCTATCTTTGACGTTCTTTCTCAAATTCATATTAAATCCTTGACTCATTTAAAAACACTCTTCTGACATACACATGATATTTTTAATCGGATATTTCAATGTGTTGTCCTAATTTTAAAAAAACTCAAATCTAGTATACAGGAAATAAAATGTAAATTCATTTCTAATGTTTAATTTATCAAGTAAATAATCTATTTTTAATTATCAACACATTTGATCGAAATCTCTTCAATTCAATGACAAGCATTGGAAAATCCAAAGCAATAATTCCTCCAAAGAAGAGTACAATGATTATAACTCCAATGGAACCGAAAGTTTTGGCGGAGGGTCGGGAGTCGTCTGCTGACGTTTTTCTACGGATAGTCGAAGACAATGAGGATTTCTCTACTTCTAATTCTTTCCTGATTTCTGCGATTTTTCTGTTCAGCTCTTCCGTAGAGTTGATAGCAGATGTATGTTGTACTGCTGGACACGTACATGATTGAAGTGTGGTGGCAACCGTATCCGTTGTTATGGCAGCAGAAGAGGTTTCAACCAATGAAGGATCTTTAAAAAAATTGAAATTTTAATATTTCAGATTTGAGAATTTTTTTCTTAAAAAATATAATCATGTTATTCAAACATACCTTGATTTGGGATGGTACTACAAAGAAAATAAAGGAGCTTGTCACATTTTCCTGCATACCAATAGCCCAAATATAAATAAACACAATGCCAATCTGCATGGTTGAGATTTTTAGCGTAGAAATGTTCATATGTTTGGATCTGTCCTGAGAGAGTTGTTAGTCTGTAGTTTGATGTTGTATCCACGTCATAACCAATGTAAATTTGTGAAGAACCCCGCCTATATGCAAAGAAAAATAATTAAGAAGACATATTTATCTAAAAGAAATCTTTGCTAAATGCTGTAAACTACTAACAACAGTTTTTTACTTAGAAAAATTGTCATTCATCAAATTTAAATCACGTTTTTTTCACCTCAACATTTCTACATTTAACAGTACATTTTTGGGAGGAAGGGGGGGGGGGGTCATGGATATAACTGAAAAATATAGTACCTTTGTGTATCTTTTATTACTTTCATGTTTGGTGTGGTGATCGAGAGGAGGATTGGGGGACGAAACCTCCCTTTTAAAATTTAACTTCAGTACCTATATTTGATCTATTTGCGTTCTCTGCTTTAACTGTAGGATTATGCTTTTCCTTTTTTCAATATTACCCATTGCTCACACAAATTACAAGTACAGTACCACCTATTAAAACTTGGATAAACAATATTCTTCTCATACCCTGAAATCATGCTAAATAAATAAAGATAAAAATAAAATAAAACTCTGCCTTGAAAATTCTCCAGTCCCCCCCCCCCCGCCCCCTTCCGCTATAACATAATCATTGGAATTCATATTTTCTCCAAGTTACATAAAAAGAATTACCCTGCAGAGTTCAGGAGAGTGTTCACAATGTTTTGCATTGCGCTGTCAGTTATGATGGCCAGTGACCCTCCTTTGTTCGAACACGTTGTTTGAGCATTGGCGAGATCCTTTTCTGACACACTCACCCAAAAGCACACACTACCGTAGTAAATATCATCATACAGAAAGCTATTTGGTCCCATTCCATTGCAGGGGGCCGTATGGCAATCTAAATACATGTAGAGTTTTAATTTTTTCGGTCATAAATGATCAATTGAAACATGAAAGAAATATTTAGTCTAGACTCGGTATCTGAACAGAAATTTAAGGACGGTCACACAGCTAGCTAGGTAGGCCATATTTTTAACGTGTTAATATTTTATTCTTCTTTCTTACAATGAGCAGGTCTTCACTTTGCCTGTCCCTCTCTTTCTCCAATAAAAAATAGTTAAATAGGTTAAATTGATTCAATAACGTTATTTGCGGGGGAGGGAGAGGGGGTGTTCAGAATAAATTCTATCCTTAACCTTCCAACAGGATATGTATCAAAATTTGCATATTATTTTAAAGGAAATTTTAATTTAGTCGCAAAAGTTAAGGTTAAAAGAATGTTTCACCACTTTTAGAATATGATAGATGGTGTCCTGTAGATGTGAAAAAAAGTTTCATCACTTAATTCTGGAATATGATATATGGTGTCCCATATATGTGCATAAAGGTTTCAGAATTTTAATGTTTGCGCAGGAGGCAAATTCAAAGACAAAAAATATTTTTTTCTATGAAAACCTGGTTTCCAGAACTCTTAATACTACTTTATTTTACGCAGTAACCAAATTATCTTTTGGTATATGTTTAGTGGTGTTTTCACCCTTTAGGTCAATTAATTTCATTCTGATTTTCACACTTTTGGCTTTTTTTTTTGGTTTTGTTTTTGGTTTGTTTGTTTGTTTGTTTTTTTCGTTTTTTTTTTTTTTTTTTTTTTTTTTTTTTTTTTTTTTTTTTTTTTTTTTGGTCTTTGTTTTGTTTTTTTTTTTTTTTTGATTGGGTTTTTTTGTTTGTTTGTGTTTTTGTTTGTTTGTTTTTTTTTTTTGTTTTTTTTTTTTTGACAAAAATCTTTTTACAAAAATTTCTCTTTAATTTTATTTAAAAAAAAAATTAATAATAAGATTAGCGATGTCTTGTAGATGTGCAAAAGGATTTTAGAGTTTTCATTTCACCGTGGATGCCTATTAGAGGTTTGAAAAAGCATTATTCTTCCAAATCTTCTTCAAACCTCTCTTACATTTTACACGGTAGCCATTTTTTTTTTAAATAATCATATGATAAAAGGTGTCCTGTAGATGTGAAAAAAGGCTTAGGAATTTTATGTTCGCCCTTTGGATCAGATGGGGATAAAAAAAAGCGGGGAATTTTTTTATTATAAAAACCTGGTACCAAGAACTCCTCTTACATTTTATGCAGTTGCCAAATCATCGTTTAGAACATGATTGGTGGTGTCCTATGTATGCAATAAAGTTTGAACATTTTCTTTTCCCAACAGAAGACCAATCAGGGCCAAAATGTTCTTTCCAAAACTCTTTTAAACATAATTTATGCTTCATTAAATTCGTTAGTTTCAGAATGGTAAATACGAAAGGTAAATATGGGTCACATGCACATCTCACTGTGCTGAGAATTTTATGTTCAAACTAATGCGTGTAAATTTATGTAAACTATGAAATAACTTATGTTGCTTCTTCATTATTAAGTACGGGTATTATTGTCTTCTGAGAGCAATATAAAAGTTTAGCTTATTTATTTTTATATATTTTCACGAAACACCAATACAAGTAAAGATCTATCTGATAATGAATTTTGTACACTCAGAATATCAAAGGGTTGAATTTTAGCTTATCGGAGACTTCTCTATACATTAAAAGTTTTATAACACACATCCACTTAATTTTAACAGTTAGTATTTTTTCCATAAGATAGAATGTGTTATATTATTCCCCCCCCCCCCCCAAAAAAAAATTACTTCTTGGTTATTTATCTATTTGAAATTTTTATTTTTCTGTTTGTGTGTGGGTGGGTGTATGTGTGTGTGTGTGTGAGAGAGAGAGTGTGTTTTGTTTTGTTTTTTTTTGGGGGGGGGGGGATTATTATCTTTATTTTCTTGCTTGTTTTTCTTTGTTTGTGTGAGAGGGTGTTTGTGAGGGTGTGTGTGTGTGTGTTTCCTCATAACTTTGTTAAAACTCTTTGTAAAAGAAAGATTGGATTTTATCAAACACTCATATGACATTCTCTTAGGTTTCATCTACATGTATTTTATTAAAAGAACAATTAATGGTTCGATTTTTTCTTTTGAAATGAATTTGTTTCCATTTTAGAGACAATTTTATTTAGAATACATGTATTTGATTACATGTATGGTAAGAACCGGTTACAGATTAGAATTTATCTTTGTGAAAACATTAATTTCAAAATTGTCTTGAAATTAAAGAATTACTTAATATAGGAGATATCATTTCCATCGATTTCATTTGTAAATTACTAATACTCACTTTGAAAAGTATAAAATAAAATACATATCCATATAATTAACATTGACTGCACTTTCCTTTTTGTCATACCTAGATGAGTATTGCAACAAGCTGTAGATATATAGGCCTACAAGGTAGATCTATACATCATATATATTTGATCTAATGTCGTCCAACAGGATACTTTTGTTTAACTTTCAATTCATAATCAAACAATGATCACTCAGTCCTCCATTTTGTAGGAGAGAAAAAGAGCAAAGCCCATCTCTCGTACATAATTTGGAAACATCGATTTTTTATGAAGTACATAATGTATACCAGTCAAAGATCAAAGAAACAATATCCTCTCTGATTCTTCTTGCATATATATATATATATATATATATATATATATATATATATATATATATATATATATATATATATATATATATATAGCTCCTAAATGAAAATGTTGAAAACCTTACAGCACATCTGCAGGATATCGCCTATCATATTCCAAAAGGTGAATTTACTATTGCTTAAAACAAAAGAGAAATTTGAGGAACAATATTTTGTAAAGTTAAAAAAAAAAAAGAAACTAATTTGTTCATCTCCCCATTATACGGAAGCGTATTAGTGCCACGTAATTTTTTTTTAAGTTGGTAATTCCAACTTTTTAGTTGATAATTCCAACTTTTAAGTTGTTAATTCCAACTTTATTCTTGGCTTTTCCAACTTTAAAGTTAGTAATTCCAACTTTAATCTTGGCTTTTCCAACATTACAGTTGGCTTTTTTAACTTTAAGTTGATAATTCCAACTTTCTTGACTCTTCCAACTTAAAATTGGCTTTGCTTTTCCAACTTTAAATTGAGCTTTTCTAGAAATTTTCCTTAGCTTTTTTTCCCTTTATTTAAATTATTAACAACTTTATTAACTCAAAATTAATACACCAAAATACATGTAGATTGGCGAGCGATTTATCTGTGTCAATTTTTTTTAACTTGACCTTCCCTATGACCTTACATATATCTCCCAATTTTTAAAACCCTCATAAATTAATGTTTTTGGTCCATCTTATATAATTATTCAGAGAATAACTTCATAAAACTCCGTACATGATAGTATCTTACCCAAACTTATGTAAGAGATCAGATATATATATATATATTTTTATGTATGAGAGAATAAGCTAAACAAATATTATTTGGTGTTTATATGGGATGAATCAACACTATATTACATATTGCAAATAAAACTGGACTAAACGTATCAATTATGTATGTGAAAGCACGATGAAATAATTCCTTCTTTCATCGTAATTCATAATCAAATCGTTTCTTTCCACTGAGGTTACATATATAAAACAGCAACACGAGTCCAGCTACAAAGTATCTGAAATTAACACATAAAGCCGTACAAAGAAAAGCCAAGATTAAAGTTAGAATTATCAACTTTAAAGTTGAAAAAGCCAAGAAAAAAATTGGAATTACCAAATTTAAAGTTGGAATTTCCAACTGTAAAGTTGAAATTTTCAACTGTAAAGTTGGAATTTTCAACTTTAAAGTTGCAATTACCAACTTTAAAGCTGGAATTACCAACTTTAAAAGTTGAAATTACCAACTTTAAAGTTGGAAAATCCAAGATTAAAGTTGGAACTTCAAAGCTGAAATTACCAATTTTAAAGTTGGATTTTCCAACTTTAAAGCTTGAATTACCAACTTTAAAGTTGGAATTACCAACTTTAAAGTTGATATTACCATCTTTAAAGTTGGAATTATCATCTTTAATGTTGAAAAAGTCAAGATTAAAATTGGAATTATCAACCTTAATGTTGAAAAAGTCAAGATTAAAATTGGAATTACCAACTTTTAAGTTGGAATTACCAACTTTAAAGTTGATATTACCATCTTTAAAGTTGGAATTATCAACTTTAATGTTGAAAAAGTCAAGATTAAAATTGGAATTATCAACTTTAATGTTGAAAAAGTCAAGATTAAAATTGGAATTATCAACTTTAATGTTGAAAAAGTCAAGATTAAAATTGGAATTATCAACTTTTAAGTTGGAATTACCAACTTTTAAGTTAAAAAAAGCCAACTTTAAAGTTGGAAATACCAACGTGAAAAAAATACGTGGCACTAATACGCTTTCGTACCATTAGCCCCTAGAGTGGAAATGGAAATTTTATAACCTGAATGCAGATCTTCAGGGAGATAGCAATCATATTCCCAAATTAATTTGGCTACTACGTAAAATGCAAAAACGTTTGGGAATTTTCACAGGGAGGGTCAAATTAACGGGGGCCAAAGATCGACTTGATTATACTTTAAAAAACTATATTACCAGAATGCCTCTTACATCTTAGGCAGTAGCCAAATCAACTTCTAGAACAGAACGGAATAGAACAGCATGAGTAATAAAGGAGATTTTATGATATATACATGCATATGAAGGCATTTTCAAATATGACCATATGAACCCTACTTTAGAGCCTGAAGCCAAGGGCCGCAAATTTCACAATTTTGTACAGGGTTAATTATAATCATACAAACAGTTTGACTGCTTGATGTCCAGGATTTGAGGATTAAGGAGGACTTTTGAGTATTGAATCATTTTTTATGGTTTGGGCTTTATGTTATTTTTATGGTTTGGGTTTATATTACATATATATATATATATATATATATATATATATATA